ATTAAATAAAAAACGATGTAAATGTTGAAATTGTAATGAATAATGACATATAAGTATCGAATGTCCAAAAAGGAAAGTTAGGATATTAATTACAGATTTTGATCAAATTAGAGATGAATGTGAAGAAATTAACTTTGAAAAAATAGAAACTGATGAAAAAATTTTTGAAGAAGAAATATCCAGTGAAGACGAATAAAATAGTTAAACTAGTTTCTAAAACTATTATAAAACCTGAGGACATGTTTTGCAATAAAAATTCATTTCATTAAGGGTAAAATTGGCATGTCAATAAAAAACCTAAAACCTCTAAGTTGACCTGACATTTATGAAAATCTCCCGATTTCATACGTAGAATTACTGATTTCTGGCACCACTAACCTTTATTATTTTTGCAATACAAATATCTCAATGTAATTTTCATTATTTTATTAGGAAATTTTATATGAAATATGATATAAATTTTTTTTTGAAATTTTATATCTGAAAAAGTCATATCCCATATAAATTTTCGGTTACAAAATTACACGGAATATGATTTTTTTGGACGTAAATTTTCAGTTGTAAATTTCTCCCAATTTCTTTACAAGTTCGATTATACCTCCCTAACTCTTAAGTTCTTCGTCCGCCATTGATCGAGCTGTGCCATGCTTCATGCTTGAATATATAGGCATGCAAAACATGCCTATACCAGTTCATGTTGCCATCTATCTTGAGCAAATGAGAAGAAAAACTCATAGTTCAATAAATTAAGCTAGCTCGTCCTGTTGATGAGTCACAATGTGTTTTGAAGGCATGACTACATAATTTTAATCATGTTCTTTCTACCTCAATGTTGGATTAGTTAAGCTTCAGACGATTATTTATAAATTTTGTAATCAATCAAAGTTGACTTTTAACTTTAGAGAAACACGCTTTTTACTTTTTACCATTTTTAAAACCTTAGGGTGCGTTTGATTGAAAGGGTGGAAAATTGGTGGAAAGAAAATGTTTTACAGGGAAAAAATTTGCTTAGAAAATATTTTGTAGGGAAAATGATTTCAAGTGTGTTTGATTGGTATAATTTTCCACGCGGGAAATTTTTAAATTTTCTATTCGTTTGGCTTTGTTTTATATGGAAATTGTCCATTAAAGTGATATTTTTTTCACAATTGATTATAAAATTTGTTTCCATTGTCAAAAAGTAAAAAAAAAAGAAAAAAAAATTGCTTCTTAAAAAATCATTTTTTCATCA